GTCTCGCTCACCCCCGCTCCAGACTGTTGACAATCTGTACACTCCGCTGCTGCCTAACTAGACAAAGTTTGGCTTGGTTGGTTTGAGTAAATCCACTTCTTCAAAGCAAAGAGCAACCTGACAGCATTATATTCATCTCTCTCTTTGTTTCTTATGTGTGGGGGAAGAATGATGTTGAGCAAACTTAGCGTTTCATTGACATGTTGACTGCTTTTGATATGAAAGGTGGAATTTCAAGAGATTTGTTTATTTGAAGATGCCAGATCAGGCTAATAGGAAGCTGAAATGTTATGGGTCTAATGCTTTCCATTCAATTCAGAAAGTCGATTTTTCCTACAGTGCACTAGGATGTCATTTTAACTGAGTAAATCCATTGATTGGTACCGTTGCAATTTTGTTTCCTTATAGGCCTTTATCATCTGCTGAGCAAACTACCTGAATACCAAGTGGGAATATCTCAAATCTGGCTTTAAATGAAATATAGCAAACATTGATGTGTTTTGGCTAAACTACAAAACTGGTGTTAGCAAGATCCTACAGTATCCTGCAGAATCCTAGTCACCCTTGTGCAAAAGAAGTGAACTTAACTATTGAATGTGGACTTGAATGTGTCAAAAAAAAAAAAAAATATATATATATTTATAACTCGTAGATAATACATTAATAAAATAAAAGGCCACTTAAGTAAACTTAAAGAGAGTACACATTCATGACTATGTTTCTCAACACACTAAATTACACTTTTAATAAGTGTGTAAAAAATGTGCATTAAAAATATTTCATGAAAATTACAATTTGAATCATTGTTGTCAGACTCTGTTTCTGTTTTGTGTGTGTTTTCTTCTCCCACGTGCTCCATGTTATGTTTATGTCCTTATTTGGTCTTCCTGTTTCCTGTTCCCATTATGTCCCCTGATTAGTTCCATTAGTTCCAGCTGTGTTATTAATTATCTTAATTTGCTCATGTGTATTTAAAGTGTTCCCGGTTCTTAGTTCTTCGTCTGGTATTGTTCGTCAATGATGTGCTACGTGTGTTCCTGCCTGCTTTGCGGAAGAAGATTCAAGTCTGTGTATCGCAATTCTCCTGCGTTCCTTGTTCCTCGCTCCAGCACAGCAGTAGATATGTGACAATTATATTTTAATAATCATGCTTTTAAGTACACATATTTTGATGTTGACTAACATACGGAAGCACATGTACAGTACTTAAGATTATAAGTGTAACTGTAGTGTGTCATTTGATATTACATTACTGTATTTTAAATGTATCAAATTCAAACTTCATCATTACAAATATATTTAAATACATGACATACAATTTTCTGCTTTATTTTATGGTGTTTGTTACATGTTACATGCACTAACTATTATAATAACCATTAATTATGCATAACCCTAACCGGTAACCCTTTAGAATAGGGGTCCAGAATAATGCATTAGTTAAGCATGAGTTACTATTTACGCTCTATATTATTTGTTTAGCAGTTATTTTGTATTATATTTCAGAAAAAAAAATACAAAAAAAGTTTTACTATATAACATAAGAAAAACAATCTAACACATTAAATCATTTTTTATTTTTTATTTTTCACAGTTTAGCCATAATTATTGGCTTATTATGGTCAATAAACTTGAATATCACTCAATAAGTGTCGTAATTAATGTGGATATAACTTTCACTTTAGAATAGGGGGTCAAATTGTCTTTATTAGTACTGTATTAATGGCAGTAGTTTAGTTTACCATAAATGTTTGTCAGTACATTTGACACTTAAGTTCAACTGATTGCATTTAGCATAATATAATAAATTGTCATTTCATTGTAAATAACATGCATTTAAGTGTTCACAATTAAGTATATCTTTTTACAGGTTATTACTTCCATAAAAAATTTTTTTTAAGTATGCTAAAGTGTACTTCTTTCTCAAAGAGGCACCTTTCACAATGTCAGATCAAAATGTTGCACCCAGTTGTGAAATCTTGTTCTAGATAATAGTTATTCTTAAACAGCTGCTGTTATACTCTAGGCTAAGCTAGTAGGCTAAACTGTTTGCTTACTAACTGA